GTAAAGTTTTGGTCTCACTGACTCAAATATAACAAAAGTGCAATTTGTGCTCAGTGCTCACAACTGTATTCAACTTACTACACTCTGACTATACAATCCCAAACTGCACAAGGCTCTTGTTCATAGCCAGGAAAGTTAGCATTTCCACGTGTCTTGGAGAAAGGCTTGCTYTCTTTTGAGAGCAGATGTTCCCTGCTGCAGAGAAAATCCGCTCTGATGGGGTGGAGGTTGCAGGGACGCACAGAAAAGATTTGGCTAGCTTTGACAGCGTGGGGAAATGCCCCTCATTTTCACTCCAACATTTGAGAGGATCATCCTTTTTAGAGAGTGTGGCTTCTCCGAAGTAAAGCCGAACTTCACTTATCACAACTTGGAACTTTCGGTCCTCCTCAGATTCTCCATCCTCATTTTCACTCTGACTGTCTGTGTCAGACTCAAGAAGGGTTTCCAGAGCACTCTTTCTATCTGAACTATTGACCCTCTGCAATCTTGCATCCTGTGTCCCAGCTGTTTTTGCTTCTTTGACAGCAAGCACTTCAGCACTCCCCTGCAGTCTGATGCTATCTTCAGGAGTCAAAAACTTCAGCTTTCTGTATCTGGGGTCCAASGCAGCTGCAAGAATAACTGGATTTTCTTTATCTGCTGAGATAGTGGAAAGACTCCCCCATCTCTGTGTTATCCCTTTTTCTACACTGGTAATGAMATTTTTTCCTGAGCTTGTCTCAAATTGGTTTTGGTGTACTGCCCGTGTCAGCCCTTTGACCACCTGTGGAAGACCTGAAATGGTTGTGTACTGCTGTCCACTAAGGTAAAAGGTAGCAGTCTCTAAAGGTGCCAACCCTCGCTTCAGTTCTTGAAGCAGCTCCCACTGCTCTGGCTTCAAGTCGAAGTAGTGTTTCCCTCTCGGAGTTACCTCRGGATCTGAAAGAGTGGCAGTGACAGGCCTGGCTGTTCAAGTAGTCTCTCTATCATGTGGGATGTATTATTCCATCGTGTGCTGACATCATGGATCAGTGCATTTTTCTTAACAATCATTTGCTCCTGTTTCATCTTTAGCTTTGTACTAGCCAGCTTACTTCTTTTAAAGTACTCCACTAGCTGCCTAGCAGCACCTAGTGCTCTGCTGATGGTGGTTTCTTTGAGAGCAGTGTTGACTATAAGCTGGAGTGTGTGCCCAGCACAGCGAATAGAGGCCCATCCATATTTCTCTTCAAGCAGTCGCATTGCTGCCACCATATTGGAACCACTGTCATGCACCACTGCTTTTATTTTGGTCGGCAAGATTTCAAACTTTGTTAAAACCTCTTCAGTCCATGTCATTATATTTGCACCTGTATGCCTCTCCTCAAGAGGCATGGTAGAAAGATTTAAGGCCTTCATCTTCCAATCTTAGCTCAGGAAATGGCAAGACACACCAAGGTAAGCCTCTGTTGCACGACTGGCCCCCACATCAGCAGTCAGCGTGGGGGAACCTTCGACACCCCTGAGAGTCTCCTTTACCTGAAAGACATGAGATGATTTGTAAGAATAGTAAACATTATGAAGAAAATTATATATTTTTTTCATTAACAGCATCTGATTGTTTATGTATATAGCCTTAAATGTATTTACTAATTCAATAATTCAGTTACCAAATATAGTTAAGTAGGATAACAAACGTTGAATATATGTTTAAAAAATATTATTAAATACCTTACCCAGGATTAATTTATTAGTTGCTCAGTCAGCAAGCTCTTAATATTATTTCATCATGAAATTTGTAAAATTCTTAGTTGGTAGTGAGTGAGTGAGTGAGTGAGATCTATGATATTTTAATTCTTATGTCTTTAAATGTTGCTTGTTTATTAAATCATTTATTTTACTGTGTTATTGTTGCTTTACCAATATTGCTTTAATACTTTCATGCCAAAAATCTAATTGAAACAGAAAAAAAGAGAGACTGACCTTTTCAAAAGTTGCACAATATTTCTTCTCCATCAGTGTGGTGAAGTGAGATCTGCCTGGTAGGTAGTTGTCATGATAATCCGGGTTGAACTGTTTAATCATGTCTTTAAATCCTTCATCGTCTACCATGGATAGTGGTCTCATGTCYGTCACCAGCATCTTCAGAATGGACTCAGTCAGGACATTGGCTTGCTGAGGTGTGCATGTAGCTGGCTTTATAACAAAGCCGTCCATTGAAGAAGACGAGTGTACTTTTTAGCACTGAAACGTAACATTAAAAAACATTAGCATTCCTTTTCTAACACATCACTGTTATAACGCTACAGAAAACACATGAAATGTGTGTGCTAAGGCTAATGAATAAAATTGTCGTCGCTAATGTTAACTTTTACAGCTGTCAATATGAGTCAGTAGCAAGTTAACTCTGTTTACGCTTATTGTAGCAGCTAACTAGCAATTTAGCTTACCGAGATGACGGCCCATCTTCCTCAGCCACAACATGCTTCCTTTTCAGGTGCTTGTGCATCCCAGTTGTGCTGCTGTGGAAGGCAAGTTCCACCTTGCAGATATTGCATTGAACACACTTCTCTGTCGTTTTCTTAAAATGATCCCACACTTTTGAGCTCCGTTGTCGGGTAGCCATGATCCAAGTCTGTCTGTGTGAATGCGTCYGCTCGCGGCCTACCCACTACTGCGCATGCGTGCGTGCGGCCTAACCACTACTATGCATGCGTGTCAAGGACAGAAAGGCAGACGCAGAAGATGCCGCAGCAGTTTGGAGAGAAAAACAAAGTTAAAGTAAATAAAAAAGCGACGCATCGACTAAATTAATCGTGACTAGTCGACTAATCGTGGCAGCCCTAGTTACCCACTAGGTGGTTTTGTAAAGGTATGTCAAGCTGAGATAGTGTATATGCAATCCACCAATGTGCGGCATCTCTCAAAGAACTGCAGTGTATGCAGGAGGAAATATTCATCCTGACAGATAGCCAAGCTGCTGTTAGAGCTCTCCAAGGGCCACATTTTACGTCACTACTGGCTTGGGAGTGTGCCGAGGCAGTCAACCAACTGGGGAGAGTTAACAGTGTTACTATTAAATGGGTACCAGGACATACTGGCATCTATGGTAACAAGAGAGCTGACCACCACGCAAGAATTGGTAGTCAAGCCCATTTTAAAGGACCAGAGCCTGCTATAGGCATTTCAACAACAATCTGTAGGACTGCCCTACAGGCATGGAACAGACATCAACACTCAATCCGCTGGAGGGAGCTGACGGATTGCAGACAGGCACAAGAACTGATAAAGGGCCCAAATACTTGATTTGGAAGAGCCCTTCTTGCCCGACGAGGAAAACTTTAAGTACTTTGGTTGGAGTCCTAACTGAGCACAACTTGCTCAACCGCAATAAAATGGTGATGGGACTCCATGAAAATGGTCTGTGCAATGCCTGTGGCATTGAATTAGAGACCTCTTTGCACTACTTGAGCCAATGCCTGGCCCTGATTAGTCAAAGGGAAAGAATTCTTGGAGAACCTTTTTTGGATCCCGAGAAGCTTAGAACACTGAAAGTTTCTAACCTGGTGTCCTTCCTTTGAGGGACGCGAAGGTTTGATTAAAACACAGTGTCTCTTTTGGGGAGAGTAATGGACCCACTTATGATGCCTCCACTCACATGGGTATTGCCCATCCCCATATACCATAACCATAGGTAGCTAGCTAAATATTTAAGTTAAATATTTAGGTGGCTAGTTAAATATTTAACTTGCTAGCTAAATATTTAAGTTGCAACCTAAATATTTGGGTAGCTAGCTAAATATTTAACTTAAATATTTAGGTGGCTAGTTAAATAGTTAAGTTTCAAGCTAAATATTTAGCTCAAAACTAAATATTTAAGTCACAAGTCAAATATTTAGCT